CACAGTATATATATTTATATGTATGTATGTATATATGTATACACCAGTATATATATATAAAATTGTTGATTTTTAGTTTACATCCACACAGTTGTTATATTTACAGTATGGCCAGTTTAAGATTTTTTTTTTATCTTAATCTACATGTGTATTTTTTTGTCCAGTAACATGCAGACTGAGTCAACTGGCAGATTCTGGCTTCAGGTCCAGGTGGTCTAACACTGATGGTCCTTGAAATGTTGATGTACACCACGGTGATTATGTGTAAAGTATAAAATTCTGTATCCACTGTCATACTTCAAAAGCTGTTGTGCGCGTCATTGTCCAAAATGGACAAAAATCAGGTGAAAAGACACCTGGATTTTGGATCTGATGGTAACTGGAGAACATAAGATCAGTAAAATGTTTACCTTTAGATGTCAACAAAACAGCACTCCACTGTATTACAGCGGAGCTAGCCCTTCCTCTTGGACTGAACCAGATACGGCCAGAAACCCACAGTTCTTTGTTCTGGCTGGTATCAGTAAGCAGCCCATTGGGAGCCGTGTTGCTTTCACCAGTGCTCCAGTTGAAGGTCCATGGCAGAGTTCAGATTCATGTCTGTTACATCTAGGAACTCAGAGTTAAAAATGCTGGGCACACTGGACTGAGCAGCATTGTAGGTAATGGCAGAACTAGGTGGGGTCAGGTCCAGCCACTCCATAGTTTCCCACGGCGTCTCACTGAAGCTCATGCTGACCATCCCCTGAACCTCGGCAACAGATGCTGCCTTGCTGCTGATGGGAGACAGGGGGTTGTCCATCAGGTCTCTGTTGGTCAGACCTTTGTCCTGTTGGGGGTGGTGAAGGAGGCAGTGCTGGTTGTGGTGGCTGCCGTACTCCTCTGCATCTCTGTTTCCTTCATCTTCCTGGAGCCCGTCCTCAGCAGACATTTTAGAAGAGCCCACGTCCCCACCACGTCCCACAGGACTGCCCAGCAGGGTCTGCAGGTGGCTCTCGGTGATGTGGTTCGCGGTGTAATCGTAAGGGAGCTGATTGGGCCCAAGATGTTCGAAGTGCCAGTGGAACCTTGGTACAAGGAGGCCAGGACACCCTAGGGACACAGTAACTTTGGTTACAGAAGACCTGTCCCTGTCTTCTCTGGCGTTAGCTGGCATCTCTTGAGGAGAAAGAGAGGAGGGGGTGTCACACTACGGACTGGAACTGGATGTCACTGCTTCCGGTTAGTCTGACCGACAGGTGACCAGAACTCAACAAATAGTGTGACAAAAATTGTGGCCCATCACATCAGATTGGTCAAACTAAACAGATTCCTGTTGTTTTCATCTACTTTGCAATATATTATTTGATACGTGCAGCTCCAGAGATATGGCTTGATTTGTCTTGCAAAACACGGCACTTTTGTAACAGAGTTGTGAGAAAACAAGCTTTGATGATTTAAAAAAAACTTGTAAGATGTGTTTTGGTCAAGGCAAATCAAGATAAATCTCTCATGCTTCATTCAATTTAGACTAAAAAGATGTGATCCCTGATCTGATGTGATGGATCAGTTATGTTTCAGATTCTGTAAGTTAATCTAAAAACTGCAAATAACTTCTTAAGGCATAAACTTTCAAGTGATAGTCAAATAGTTATCAGTATTTGGTACAGCATGGAGTTTTGAGAAGGAGGCAAAAGTCTTTATCCAAACCAGGCTAATGGTAGCCAAAGGACTTAAACAAAACTTTCTCATAAACAACACTGAAATAACTAAAGTGAAATCAGTTCCTCTGGACGGATGCAAAAAGTAATAAAATAAAATAGGGGGCGGAAAATAAAACAAATGGGCAGAGGCCTTCATGTCCAACTGTTCCCCTCTTACAATGCTGTTATTGCTAGTATCACTCAGCCCTCTGTGAATAGCATGTGGCCATCAGGGCACTAACCATCAATGGTTAGGCTGATGGCCCCCCTTTTTCATGTGGATGTCATCAGCAAACTGTTTGATCCATTATGAGAAGGGTCTATTTATAAATAGGGATGCACTGATCCACTTTTTTTACTTCCGATCCGATCCCAATACCTAAATCTGAATATCGGCCGATATTGATCCAGTTCCGATATCATGATCATCATTGATTTTACATCAGGCTGTAATAATCTCCTCTGAAGTACAATTTGTACAAATATATGCATGCATGTCCAAAAAGGCAACTTGAGGTAAGTTGTATTAATGTTGGATAAGTTTTAAAGTTAGAATTAAATTCTGCTAACACAAAACATGTTTCTCTTTATTCCTAGTTTTAAAGTGGATATTAAAGTGATTAATTTTAGTGATTGTTTAAAGTTATTTTATATTTTTTTAAATAAGGGGCAGATATAAGATTTTTTTTCTTCTTTCTGCACTCTTTTCATTCAAAATTTTCTCTTTGATGATTTTTTTAAATTTAGTTTCTTTTAAATGAATGAATAAATTAATTCAATTAAATGTTAAATGGCTTCAAACACCTGCTAAGTTCATGGCATAAACCAACAGACGTTCCTGTTTTTAGTATTTTACATCACTTTATAATGTAGCTGTCTTTTGTTTTTAATATAATTTTCAAATCATGTTGTTTTTATGATTGTCTACTGTTGTACTGATAAATATCTCCTGGAGGGTAAACTATATCTTGGATGCAAGTATCAAACTGTGAAATCCTTCATTTTCTAAAACTGATAGGAGTTGGACATTAATTATGAAGTTTAGCAACTTCTCTGTAAACATTAGAGCTCCATGGTTTCAGTGATGTCTTCTTCTTGTTCAATCCGAAGCAGGCAGCCTGATTTTGGGCAGCCACGCTCAGTCTGTCCCTCCTCGGAGACGGGCAGACTGAACGGGGCAGATTGGACGCGGCTGGCCGGTGTCGAGTCGCCTCTTTCGGATTCAGCGAGAGTAGCGCCACGCTGAAGCTACGGAGCTCGAATGTCCAACGTAAAACTAACTTTACCGTGGTTTAATGTGGCGCCATGGCTCTGCAGACATTGCACGTTGCTGTCTTGCTTTGTGGTGTTTCTAGTGTAAAATACTTGCACACAGCGGACATGTTTCGATGAAAAGTTTGTTAGCTGTTAGCCACAGTGCTGCTAACTCAGTCCTCACGTTGTAGCTGGCTGCAAACTATGAAATGGATTTCCTGAATGTGAGGCGGGTCTTATTACTCTGGGCTCATGAGACACGCCTCCGTTCAGGAAATCCATTCCATAGTTTGAAGCCAACGTGCATCATGGATCGGAAATATTGGCACGTGGATCGGGAAAATCCGATATGTAAATTATGCTGGTATTGGAGGCCGACACAGATACTGGATCGGATCGGCCCCATCCCTATTTATAAGACTGAGTTTATTACAGCTCCTCAGACTGACAAAGTATTTTGGATAAAAGACTAAACATTTCAACATTTTTTATTTATTTTTTGCTTTTTGCATCCGTCCAGAGGACCTGACTTAATTTTGTTAGATTTTTCTACATGGATAATTGAGCATGCATCAGGAAACAGTGAAAGAACCCTACATTCAATAAATATGATCAAATATTAACTAATGTAGCGTTCTTTCACACAAATATGACATTTTAAAGAAATAAATTATTTAAGCCTTGTATTGTCCTATAACTTTGACCAATCATATTAGGGGAAAAATTGACCACCTTATTTAACTTCTAAAAATGACTATTTTTTATGGTTGTTTCCAACAATAAACTAGTTAAAGCTATCTCAGCCTGAAATGAAAATATAAAATTTTAACAATTTTTTATTTTTTTAGTCTTTTAAGGCCTTAAGTTAAAAAAAAAACCCCACCACATTTCAGGTTTTTTTTTTTGTTTTAATTTTTTTTTCATTCTACAAAATATGTATTTTCCATCCATCCATCCATCCATCCATCCATTATCTTTACCCGCTTATTCCATTTTGGGTCACGGGGGTCGCTGGTGCCCATGTGCAGCAATCACTGTGCGAGGGGCGGGGTACACCCTGGACGGGTCGCAAGTCCATCACAGGGACACATAGAGACAAACGAGACAAACAACCATTCACTCTCTCACTCACACCTAGGGACAATTTAGAGTTACCAATCAGCCTAACATGCATGTTTTTGGTCTGTGGGAGGAAACTGGAGTACTCAGAGAAAACCCACGCATGCACGGAGAGAACATGCAAACTCCACCCAGAAAGGCCCCTGGACTGGAGTTTGAACCAGGGACCTGCTCGCTGAGAGGCAGCAGCTCTACCAGTTGCACCACCATGGTGCAATATGTATTTTAGGGTGATTTATTTTTTTGGGAAAGACATTTTTTCTTATTAGTATACCCCAAAAGATTTTTTGACTTTTTTTAAAATTCCACTCCAGAGTTTTGTGAAGACTCTTCAAGCCCATCGAACACTTGTCACTCCTTGGTCAAACATGGATTTTTTTGTTTTTTTGTTTTAGGTTTCTTTTTTTAATATTTTTTTTTTCTAAAACCCTACTCATATACAACAACAATTTCTGTTTTTATTTTTTTTTTATTACTGACCCAGATAAATTACCAGTTGCTGCAGCCTGGTGCTTTTGCCATTTACATCGAAGCCAATGAGAGTAAGCCGTTCTGAGCCATGGAGCATCTGATTCTGCTGCCTGCATTCATGTGGAGCAGATTTATACTAAATGTTAACTTGTGCAATGTGCAAGTATGTTTTTGTTCTTTACATCCAAACTAATACGATCTTGTTGGATGAGACAAGAGGCAGCAAGTCCAGCCAGGAATGAGGCATCTCTTCCGGGGTGAGTGAAATATTTTATCTCTCGTAAATTTTTACTGAGGCTCTCAATGTACAAGTGTAGTACCAGTCAGTGCACTACTATAAAAATTGAAATTATTGGGCTATGAGTAAAAATAAGCAAATATTTACAGAGATTATTTGATATACAGGTAATAAATATGGGATTAAAAGTTGTATTTACAGTGTTCTTTAATGTGGCTGTTTTTTTTGTGTGTCCACAAAGTTTTTGCCTTTTTTCTCCTTCCCGCTGGTTGAGAAAGTGTCTCATTAAAAACAGTCTGGTCTAATTAATCAGAGAAGCAGACACCTCCCACATCGGCCAACAAGTGCACAGCTTTCTGAATTGGATTTCTCGTTTGATTTGAAGTAATAATTCTGAATAATACTCCAGATTAACACAGCTAACTGGGGAAAAAAAAGTTTGGTAAAGTAACTCCAAAACAATATAAAATTGAAAAATGATGATACAATATATCATCACTGACTCAAATAGAAGATTCAAGTGAGGATTGAACCCACAAACACTCAGGTACACCAATAAGCCACACAATTGTTTAATTAAAGTCCTACAATGTTGGTGGGAATTTTCATTTCTGTCTTTTGTTCTCGTTTTTTTTTTTTTTTTTTTTTTGTTCTGGTCCCCTCTGTCTGCTCCAAATGAATTTAAAAACAGAATATCTCCACGGTTGGTCTCAGCAAGTTTCACTACAGCTATTCCTGGGTTTGAGCTCATGTCAGGTCAGAGGTCGTACCAATGCGCTAAAACCAGCTGAATGTGTCCACATGGCAGAAAGTCTGATGCCCCAAATTAAACTCTATCGGACCTGCCTGTTCAGATCACTGGCTGCTCGATCAGATTATTTTTCTTCCCCCAAAACTCAGCAATTTCTATCTGAGAGCCAGTTTCAGGTTTTTGTAGTTTGTCATAAATATATATACTTTACAAAAAATTAGAATATCATGGAAAAGTTGTTTAACTTCCATAATTCCATTCAAAAAGTAAATCTTTAATAGATGATAGATTCAGGGCCCACAATTAAATGATTTCAAGTATTTATTTGTTTATTTTTACATAATTTGAGCTTCCAGCTCATGAAACCCACGAACACAGGATTTCAAAAAATTAGAATACTGTTGAGAAATCAGCCCAAATGTTGCAGGACATGAATGTTTTAAAGTGAGTGTGACTTATCATCTACTAAACTCAAAGCACCTGCACAGGTTTCCCCTGGTGTCATTAAATTGCTTCAGTTTGATTCAATTGTCTCAGTTTGGTTCAATATGGGGAAGACTGCAGACATAACTGGCCAGAAGACCATAGGATGGGTAAGCCACAAGAGATCATAGCTAAGGTCGTTTTCACACCAGATAGTCTGGTAGACTTAGTTCGGTTCGGGACCAATATTCATGACATTTTGTTTACATTTGAGCTGGTGCGTTTGCATTCAAACTGCACTGTGCAGTCGAGTGAACCTGTTGAACCAACCTATTCCCCCGCTCGCCTGTGGGGGCGCTGCACCAAGAACTACTGAAAGAAACGACACAAAAACCTCTGAAGACACGTTCTCTTCTTCTTCTGTAAATAAAAATAACAACGAAGTGGCATCAAGTTTTAGCAGTTTTAGGAGTTATATTTTGTCATTTTTCAAAAATGGACTTTGCATGAGCAGAAGATGAGACAGAAGACCATGGAGAATATTGTTTTTCCACAGAAGGCAGCTGACGGCTCCATATAAGGTCAGAGAAATGTGTGTTTGTTTACCCTGCGGAGCGGAGCTCGGTCTGTTTACATTCACACTGTACTCGAACCGCGCTGGAGTTCTCTTCTACCGGACCGAGACCTAGGCTTTAGCCCGGGCTACAGTTCGCCTTTTTGTTCCGTGACAGAGTTCGATGGCGCGTTCACACCTCTCTAAACGAACCGGACTTTCTAGGAAAACGAGCTAGAGTTCGATTAAAGCGGACTAAACAGGGCTGGTGTGAATGCACCCTAAGGCATCAAGGACATCTGGACTTCCATAACTCTCAGTCAATGCCACAGGCTGATTTCCTGAATGCCACGTCGCATCGAGGCAGTGATTAAGGCAAAGGGATTCCCAACCAAGTATTGAAGATTGACATATCATTTTGAAAGTACCATATTTTAATGGATTTGTTGTGATCCAAATTTCTTTATTTATTTTTTCCTGCAAAAACTGAGTAGTGTGAGCTGATGTCTTCACAGTATTCAAATTTTTTGATATCCTGTTTTCGTGGGTTTCATGAGCTGGAAGCCCCACTTATGTAAAAAAAAAAAAAAAAAAATCAAATAAAAACTTGAAATCGTTTAAATTGTGGGCCCTGAATCTATCATCTATTAAAAATTAACTTCTTGAATGGAATTATGGAAGTTAAACAACTTTTCCATGATATTCAAAT